GTCCCCTTGTTCTGTTCGAACGACAGCCTCCTGGTCAAGGTACAGATTCCTCATGAGTACAATCAAGTGCTCGGGAATTCCCATTCTTCTCAATATTATCCATAATTTGTCATGATCCACACAATCAAATGCTTTTCTATAGCTTCCATATTGTTAATAATGAACTTACACCTGAAGCCAACCCAAATTTATTGCCATCAAGTTGATTTTAACTTACAGCAACTCTGTAGGACAGATTAGAACAGCCTCATAATGTTTCCAAGGCTATAATATTCATGGAAGCAGACTGCAACATCTTTATAATGGGGGGCAGGGCTGATGGGTTTGAACTACCAACCTTTCATTTAACAGCCAAGCTCTTACATCACCTTTTCTTTTTTTTTAAATCAAGGGAACACAGCCTGAAATGCTGATTTTATGAAGAAGAATCAACCAGGATAAGAATGAAGACAAATAATATTTACAGGATACTAAAGTGACATAATAATGTGTCAGGATTTGCACATTTAAAAATAAAACACTCCGAGTTAAAACAAAACAAGCAATTTCTTTCTATAAGAAGCAAATATAATGAGTATTATCCTTAGTGAAACCATAAAGAGGTGACTTAATGTTAAAGAGACCTAAGAGCTCGGAGGTGAGGAACAGTCCTAGTTACACCATCACAGCACATGATGTGACCAGTAATACTCACTGAAGTGAACCCTCAGGCTGGTCTAAAAGGAAGACCATGAGAAAGGCAAGGTAGTATATGATCATATTTGGCAAACAATCTCTCCTCAGTTCAGAGGAAACTACAGATGTTCTGATTCATGCTATGACCAAAGCTGACAATAATCTGTAAACCGTAGTCCTTTTAATATAATTCTTAGTTATTAGTGGTCATCTTTTTGTCCATTATCATGAACCAAAAAAAAAGCTAAGAGCAATTAACTCTGTAATAGTATGCCCCATAGGTAACTTTTAAGCGTAACTCTAACTATATATGAGGAAGAGTCCGTAGGTATTGCAAAGGATTAAGTACTACTACCCAAAAGAAATTAAAAATAAAATAAAATAAAAGTAAAAAAAGTACTACTACCCACATAATCCGAGAAGCTGGATTATATGAAGAAAAACATGGCATCAGGATTGGAGGAAGAATCATTAACAACCTGAGATACATTGATGATACAACTTTGCTTGCTGAAAGTGAGGATGACTTGAGGCATTTACTGATGAAGATTGAAGAATACAGTCTGTAGTATGGATTATGTCTCAATATAAAGAAGACAAAAATCCTCACAACTGGACCAATAAGCAGCATCACGATAAATGGAGAGAAGATTGAGGTTGTCAAAGAATTCATGTTGCTTGGTTCTAGAGTTGAGGCCGATGGAAGCAGCAGTCAGGATATTAGACGATGTGTATTGCATAGGTCAACTGTGAAGGAACTGTTTCAAGTGCTGAGGAGCAAGGATGTCTCCTTGAGGACTAAGGTGTGCCTGACACAGGCCATGATATTTCCAATTGCCTCGTATGCATATGAGAGCTGGACAATGAATAAGGAAGACCGAAGAAGAGTTGATGCTTTTGAATTGTGGTGCTGGTGAAGAATACTGAAGGTACCATGGACTGCCAAAAGAACTAACAGATCTGTCCTGGAAGAAGTGCAGCTGAGATGCTCCTTGGCAGCGAGGATGGCCAGACTTCGTCTCACCTACTTTGGTTATGTTGTCAGAGGAGACTATTCCCTGGAGAAGGATGTCATGCTTGGTAAGGTGGAGGGTCGATGAAAGAGGGGAAGACCTTCGACAAGATGGATTGACATAGTGGCTGCAACAATGGGCTAAAGTATAGCAGGGATCATGGAGCTGGCGGGGGATCGGGCGGTGTTTTGTTCTGCTGTGCATGGGGTCGCTATGAGTTCAAAGTGACTCAATGGCACCTAACAACAGCAACAACAACCCAAAAAAATTGGCTGTGGGAACCCACCCAGAAGTGCATTGGTAGATTGGCCTGGTGATCTGCTTCTGAAGGGTCATACCCTTGAATATCGTATAGAGGAATTCTACTCTGCACACATGGGATGGCTATGAGTCACAATTGACTCAATGGCAACTAATAAAATAACATATATATGGGGAGGGGAAAAAAATTAAAGACCATTTTTATGGTGCTAAAGCACAAAGGTACCAAACACCCTTTGATTACAGCACATTGTTGCTTTAATTAGTATTGTTGTAATACTTTCCTACTTGAAAGACCCAAGGCTATAAGACTAAAAACGTTGACAGTGTACATCTCCAGGAAGTCTCTGTGTGGTACAGATGGTTAATTAAGAGGTTGGTGGTTTGAACCCACCCAAAGGTGCCTGAAAAGACAGGCCTAGTGATCTGCTTCCAGCAAGGTACAAGGTTAATAGAGTCATAAGACATTTAAATGGTTATAATTATGTCAAAAAATTCTGGTCTTTGATATCTATATTAAAAATAACTGGTCAATAATCTTTCAGATAATTATTTAATTTATTTAAAAGTAAAAAGCAACTATCTTTCTATAGCTATAATTAGGCAAGCTTTTCAACAACAGAAACTAGAAATCAGCCTCCAATTGTTTTCTATGAAGATGTGATTCTGAAGGGAGAGGAAGAAACTGGTTTTGATCTCATTTTCATGAAAACTTTTCAATTGAATAAAATTAACTCAAAAGGATGTCAAACAGCAACTCTGAGTGAGACTCTGACTTAAATGAGAATGTTGTACTTTTGACATCTAACACCAAATTCCACTATTCCTCATACCATTCTCCATTTAAAAAGACAGTATCTGACTGTTTCTTGAAATGACGGCAAATTCCATTTGGACACCTGCATGCCAGATGTCTGTAGCTACACATGCACCCTGCTATTCTGCCTGCAATATTTACCACATATTACTTTTCCTCTTTGGCTGAATTGGGAAGTAGAGCCTTTAGAAGGCACCACAGCTCTTAAACGTTTTTTGTCATTGCTCTTTTATCTTGTCTTATTCATGTGTTTTCAGTTTCCTTCAACTCTATTTTTACATAACAACTCTTATTCCAAATTCACAAGTCATTTATTCTGTACTTGTTTAAAAAATAATGAGAACTGGGAATTAATTGCGGCATAAAATTTGATTTTTTTTTTTTAATATAAGACTTGACAAGCAGAGGTGTATTATGCTTCATTTTTCTACTGGGTCAATCATAACCAAGGAAACAAATCAATTTTTGAAGTTACAATGGATCTACTATAAATATAATGAAAGTATTAGACTATTCCTATTTTTAAATGTTATTTAATAGGAATAATCAGTTTTTCATGTTAAATGAGAGACTGATTTTTCCCACAGGTCTGTGCTTCAGGCTGGAAGGGAAATCAGGCAACAGATGAGCATTAAAACGAGAAAGATCAAAGGGTGACATCATTGGAACTCACGTTCCAGCAGTGAAGGGCCAGGTGGACACCAGAAGAAAAAACTTAATATGATATTTTGCTGCTAACAGCAGGCAGGAAGACCAGAGGAAACACAACAATCTTCTATAAGCTAGCGGTAGTTTGCTTAGATTATCCCAAATGTCTTGCTTAAATCCATCTCATATATGGTTACTATGCTAATCCATGGTAATCTTTGTATCAAATCAATGTGCTAAGTTTTAAAATGAGTTGTGAATCACAAGTCAGAAATATTTAGACAATATTGCTAGATAAGTCTCTTATAGATCTTGTTACATGCAGTTGAATGGGTTCTGACTCATAGTGACCCTATGTGCATTGCCCTGTCCTAGGTCTTTCCCAAAATTGTTGCTGTTTGAGCCCATTGATGTAGCCACTGTGCCAATTCCATCTAGTAAGAATCTTCCTTTTTTTTCTCTGACCCTCTGCTTCATCCAGCATGACGTCTTTCTCCAGGAACTGGTCCCTCATGATAACATGTCCAAAGTTTGTAAGACTAAGTCTTGCCATCCTCCCTTTTTTTTTTTTTCCTTTTTTCTTCTGGAAAGGCTTTATTATGTGGGATGGGCTGTAGCGGACACAAAGGGGCAGGGCTGGCTCAGTCCTTCTTGGCAGCAGCCTTCCTCATGGCGGCCAGGACATTGCTCAGTTCTTCTCGTTTCCTCTTGGCACGAATGTGTGTCCCCACCCGCTTCTTGATGAACTTGAGGGCCAGCTTGTCCTTGGAGACCTTGAGCAGCTCCATGGCGCGCCGCTCATAAGGCGCAAAACCGCACACCTCCCGTATCATGTCCCGCACGAACTTGGTGTGCTTGGTGAGGCGCCCGCGGCGGCGACTATGCCTCGGCTTGCTCACGTTCTTGGTCACTTTGTGGCCCTTGTTGAGGCCCATGGCCATAGGGTAGCACACAGCCATGGCTGGTAAACTTCAATGGCTTCTGTGGCGGAAGGGCAGCGCCTCACTGAACTCTGGGATATCTACTCCACCATCCTCCCTTTTAAGGAGCATTCTGGCTCTATTCCAACAGATTTGTTCTTTTGGCAGTGAATGGTATATTCAACATTTGTCACCACCACTATTCAAAGGCATCGGTTATTATTCTGTCTTCCATTTTCATTATCCTACTTTCATATACATACATGGTGATTAAAAATACCATGGTCTGAGTCAGGTGCACTTTAGTCATCAAAGTGACACTTTAAGGAGTTTTTTTGTTTTTTTTTTTTTAGCAGATTTTCTCAATGTAATGCATTGTTGGATTTCTTGACTGCCTCGGAAGGAAGGTTGGGCAATCCTACTTCCGTAGTGATACTGCCTCGGAAACCCAAGGAGGGGTCGCTATGAGTCGGGGCGACTCAACGGCAAACGACAACAACAACAACATTTCCTTGGGCATGAACTGTGGATCCAAGTAAATGAAATAATTTATCATGATGGTGCTTACTGGTTTAGTTGTGAGAATTTTTGTTTTCTTTATGTTGAGTTACAATCCATACTGAAGGCTGTAGTCTTTTATCTTCATCAGTTAGTGATTCAAGTCCTCTACACTTTCAGCAAGTAAGGTTGGGTCATCTGCATAGTGCACATTGTTAATGAGTTTTTCTTCCAAAACTGAAGCTATGTCTGTCTTCATAGTCCAGATTCTCAGATTAGTTTTTCAGCATACAGATTGAATACTAATGGTGAAAGGCACAACTTGATACATAATGATTTTAAACTTCACAATATCTCTTATTCTTTTCAAACAATAGCTTCTTGGTCAAGGTACAGGTTCAACATGAGCACAATTAAGTGTTCTGGAATTTCCATTCTCTGCCATGTTATCCATAGTTTATTATGATCTATAGAGTTTAATGTCTTTGTGTATTGACAAAATGTAAAATGTTATCTTTCTTTTATTCTCTGCTTTAAGCCAAGCTCCATATTTTTATATTTTTTTTTTGCCAAATGATATCCCTAGTTCCCTGTTTAAAATCTTGTAAACTTATTTTACTTTGGATACTTCCATTGCTGTGTTGGTTTCTGGGTTATGTCATCTTCTGTATTAATGGTCAGCTGTTGTTTGCTATTACTGGTTCTTTGTTAAAAGGACTCCCTTTAGTATTTCTTGTAAGGTTGGTCTGGTTTTAATAAATTCCTTTAATTTCTGCTTAATTGGATATCTCCTAATTTCACCCCCATATTTGAGGGACAATTTTGCCAGGTATATAATTCTTCGTTGAAAAATTTCTTTTTCAGGGTTTTATATATACCATCCCATTGCTTGCATGGCTTTTGCTGAGAACTCAGAGCGTATTCTTATTGGTTTTCCTTGTAAGTAACTTTTCATTTTTCCCATGCTCCTTTCAGGATTCTTTCTTTGTCCTTGATTTTGATGAGTTTGATGATAATATGTCTTGGTGATTTTCTTTTGGGGTCTATCCTACTTGGGGTTCATTGGACTTCCTGAATGGGTATATTTTCATCATTAATCATACCAGGGAAGTTCTCTTCCAACAATTTTATTTCTGACAATTTTCTCAGTGGTTTTCTTTCTCTCTTCCTGTTCTGAAATTCTGATTACATGCAGGTTATTCCTTTTGATGGTATCCCACATGAACCTTAGGCTTTCTTCATTTTGTTTTGATCTATTTTCAGGTTGATCCCTTTCCAAAGAAGTATTCAGGTATTTGTTTTCATTCTCATTGATTCTGTCTTTCATTGATGCAACTCGACTCCTTTGTCCTTTCTATGTGTTATCTATTTCTGAAAATTGAGTATTAATCTCTGGATTACTATCTGTAGATTTTATATCATTTCCAAATTTTCATTTATTTTGTCATTTTGTTCCTGTATTTTCTTCTAAATTTGCTCTAGGTTTTAGTCTGTGTTTTCCTTGATCTGTCTCTCAATCCTTTCAAGATACCTAAGTAAAATTCTTTTGAATTCCTTATCGGGAGTTCAAATGCAGGGATGTGTTCTGGGCCTGTATCCTGCTCCCTTGCTTCTACCACTTTGTCTTACTTCTTTGTATGGACTGTGATGGTCTGTTGTCTCTGAGACATTGTGACAATGTTGTATTTAGATCTCTGTTAACTGTTTGTGAAGAACAGCTAAGAGTCAGGCTCTTCTTGGTGGTTGTTTATCATTGACCAGTTGGTGAAGAAGGAGGTGGTGGCTCTCACTCAGTAAGTGGAGCTGCAGAAGGTGCAGGTGTAGTTCCTTTA